CCACTCTGCTCTGGTAAAAAACTTAAAATTAATGTATATGTATATGTGTATATATATATATATACACATATATATACACACACAGATGGTACTTATCACTAATTTCTTTGAAAAGTATCCTCTAGTGAAGGGCTCAGAGATGACACCAACTAGACACTAGGAAAATGCCTTTCTGCAATTTAAGTGTTCTGACTACCAAAAAGGCTGAGAAATTTTACTGAAATATAGTCCTGGCACTTCAAGAGGTTAACTTAGGATGGCATCTGCATTTTAATCAGTTACGTGCATCTGTATGATTAAGACTCTGAGACAGGAACTTTACCAAGAGCAACAGAACAGATCAGGCTTTTTAAAGGTCTGTTTTCACAACATCTGGATATTAACTTCCGTGAATTTAGAAAGTAACTTAAAGCGGATGAAAGTCTAACACCTACTTATACTGATTTACCTTAAAGCAATGTTTACTATGTGCACCAAACTGATACTGGATACAATAGGGCAATATAACACAATAAATTAGCATAATATAATAATGTAACTAATTGCTAAAGCAAACTTATTACTATTAACTTAAACACTAAGAGCCTATGATTTTTCAGGCTACTTAACCTGATCAAATGCAGAGCAGTTTCAAACTGTCTTTTGGTTTTTCTTTTCTTTTACGAAAAGCAAAAAGAGAAGAATATTTTGCAATCTAGCTGTCAAATTTCAAAGCTGAAATCAGGCTCCAATGTTAATACTACACTCCTTCAGCAGCTGTCAGAACCCTGGCAGTCCATTCAGTAATTCTAAATAATCCATGAAAGGCAATTAAAAGACATTGGAAAAAAATTCTATCATCAGCAACCTTGAAATTCTCTTTACAAGGGCCATCACCTGATACTGAAGTACTGCAAGGGCCTATAAGTTGAAAAAGGATGGAAAACCACACTAGCCAAGAGCAAAAAGAAAACAGCCTAAAAGTGGCCTCACTGAAGAGGCTGAAAAGGGCTAGCAATGAAAAGTCCTACACAATCATAAACCTTTGGCATCAGTAGTCTGCAGTTACACAGCTCCTCTGATCACAACAGACTTGCCACAGCAGTTGAAACACTGAAGAGTATTTCTAAACATTACTTAGCGAATACAAATGTATGAATTGTCAGAGCTAAGAAAGCTTTAGGAAATTTAAACAGCTTCAAAGGAAATAAGCTTGTCTGTTAATTTGGCTAAGTTATAAAAAAAAAAAGCAAGACCCTTGTAGCTGGTTGGGAAGAACAGGAGTAAAACACAAGTTTTCAGTACCCTTAAAGATATCTGGATACAAAACTAGTTATCACTAGACACAGTAATTTTTAATGTAAAAAATTTAATCAGGTAGGCATCATAATATGACAGGATAATTTAAGAGTTGCGTTTGAGGTTTTATTTTAATATTTGATACTCTGTCCAGAAGAAGTTACCCAACTAAACCAAATACTTCTCTACAGGAAACCATAGCATGTAACCAATCTAACCTATTTTTTTATTAGAAGCCCAAATCATACAAAGCCTTATTTATCTGACAATCCCATTTGATCATGTATCTGCCAAAACTCTGTCACACACCGACCCCAAGGATCTTAAACAAAGGCAAATATAGTTTTGCCAAATCTGACACTGGGATGCTGGGTTTTGTAAACAAACAAAAACCCCACCACACACGTAAAATTAAACCACCACCCCATTTACATTACTTAGGCAAATTCTTTACATGTTGACAGTTTTGTTCTAGTTTCTAGCTTAGATTCCAAAACTTGAGAAGGCATTGAACAGCTTTTCTTGCAGTGTCTCATCCAAGGAAGAACAACCTACCACACCTTTGCTTTCAAAACAGTTTCTTGCCAAGCATGCTCAGATGCAAGAACACAAGTACAGTTAATATCTATGCGTAATCCTCCTCCTCAAACTAGATGGAAACAAAATGAGTGCTGCTGACTACATGCAGTAGGAGACTTCTTTTTTTAAAATGGGATTTATTTTTTCCCTTGGAATACTAGTCATTTCTAATTTTCATGAGTGCGAGGTTCAACATGCTCACTAGTATAACTGCATGTGTCATTCTGACTACTACAACTTTTAAAACAGGGTTTTATTTAAACAAAATAAATCAATTTCATCAGTTAACACTGTCATTTCACATACAGAAATCTCAAAGTGAAAAATCATATCCAACTGGAAAAAACTCTTATGACACACAAAGCACACTGAAATGCAAGATTTGCCAGCTGTCTTGCTCAGATATCTTCCTCTACAGACTAGGGCTTATACAGACATGCCTGCAGATAAACATGAAGTGAGAAGAGGTTTGAGGATGGGTGAGGAAATGCATATGGGGGAGAAGAACACATTTATTATTGTAGCTTTGAGGCTTCCCCAGTCATCTCTAAGGGACAGAGCATTATATTCACCAACAAGGAATCAAAACTCCACTATGAAGTTTAAAGAACTTTTCATCATCTACAACTGCCATTAGAGACAACATTATGTTTTTAAAGTCACCAAGTTTTATGATAGAGCAACTTCAGCCATATTTCCTTGTCATTTTAATAAAACCCAAATGTCTTATCTTCCACACTAGCATGAGAACCACCATCTAGACTACATATTACACCAACATAAACTAGATGCTCTTATAATAGGACACTGACACAAATTTCTAGGATAAGAAAAAACCCCACCTAGCATTATGAACTGACTGTGACACTTTTGCTCAAATTTACAAACAGGTAACACCACACTACAATAAAATCTAAAGTAATTTTTAGCAAAAATAGCACAAGTTTTGAGTTTGCACATTTCATAACCGCTCAAGTGCTGTACTCTAAATAGAAATATTTCTTGACCTGATTAGCTCTCAGAAACACTTTAGCTGCTACTCTTTCTCACACCGTTTTTTTTCCAATCTTAAGAACCTGTTCCAGGGTCTCTGTTCATGTCAGTTCCCCAATTCTCTCATGCTTATCCTCCATGATGTTTTTTCCACACTACCCCTAAACCAAATGTGGAGAGTTAATACCTTTTAGAAAAAGGAAGAGTAGCTAAAGATTTGCCTGAAAGCTACAGCCTTGTCAAACACTAGGCAATGTTATGTCATTATGTTCTACTTTGCTTGATAAATTCTAGATAAGCATCCTTAAAAACACTACTTGTGCCAGTATACTTACAGATAGAAAAATCAAACAACTAAGAGAAGTTAGAAGATCCAATACAGGAATGCTGCCACGTAAAGCAAGCCAAGAGAACACAACTATTTAATTCAGTCCCACATGGAACAGGAGAGGAGAATGCCCACTAAAAGCAACGTGAGCTTGGCCCTATAAACTAGTCACGAGGCACACAAGCCAATTTTCCTGTGCACGGGCTTCCTTCCGTACAGAAACTTAGGAAAATATTAAATAACTATGAACATCACACCTAAAATAGAGTCTCCGTAATGTTAGAAGCCACGCTGCGTACACGAGTCCGAAACCAACAAAATACAGGAGAAGCGAGCGATTCCGCAACGGGCAGGGTGGAGCAGAAGGCGGGACGATGACCTAATAGGTCTTTTCTATCTTTAGTTTCGTGAGGCTCGGTGGACAAGAAGCGCCTGGATCAGGCTCTGCTTGTCCCCCGGCAGCCGGGCACGTCCCCCCGGTCGGGAGGACACAGCACCTACCGGCCTAACGAAGTTCTCCAGCCACCTGATGCTTACAACAGGTATCCCAAGGTGACAGCGCTTGCAGACAGGCAAGCTTTAGACAGGACTCAGAAGCGATACGCGGGTCATTTTTTAGCAACGAGCCATACAGGCGGTTCGAGTTTCCTTCTTGCCCTTACCTTGAACACTTTACCGAAAGCACCATCTCCCAGCTCTCCTATAATCTCCCAGAACTCCTCAGGGTTCAAATCCCTCTTGACGTGCTCGTATTGTTTCTTCTTTTTCTCACCACCCAGCTTGAAGATCTTCCGAAAGTTGAAGAAAGACATCTTCGCTCCTGCCGAGGGAGGCCAGGCGCGGCCAGCAAGGGGCGGGCGGCTTCTGGCGGTGCCCCCTCAGCCCGCCGTCACCATCCGGGGCGGGCAGCGGGGGTCCTACGGGCGCGATCCCCGTGACGGCCGAGGGCAGTCCTCACGCCGCCTGGGAAGCCGTCGCAGCCGGGCGCTGAGAGGAAACAACCCCTCGGATCTCCCCGAAGGGGCCGGGCCGTCGACAGCAGCCGCAGCAGAGCTCTCCCGCGGCGGGCTCAACGGTCCCTTGCCTGCTCGGCCGGGCCGGTGACCATCGCGTCAGCAACAAGTGCCTGAGGAGAAGAAGCGCGGCCAAGGGATCGTGGCTGGAAAGGGGCAGCGGGGCGCGGCGGACGGGGGAGTGGTCACCCAGCAGCCCGCCGAGGGCGCTCCCGCTTCAGAGGACGGGGCGGATGTAGGGAGAGAAGGGGAGGGGGCTGCCCCGCTCCGGACTCCGGGCCGATGTCCTGCCGGAGGGTGCGCTGCGGGCTGGCAGAGCGGAGGGAGGCGGCGGTGCCCCGACGGTCCTCTCTGGGTTTGTCTCCCGGTCCCTGCCCGCCCTCTCGCAGAGCGCGGCCCGGGCGGCACCGTTTCCTGCGGGGCGGGGCCGCGCCTCCCTCCCCCGCCTCCCTCCACCCGCCGCCGCCGAGCGCGTGCGCGCTCCCCGTGCCCCCGCCTCTCTTCCCGCGCTCCCGGAACCGCCTCGCACCCCGGCTACCGCCGCCGACCACCGCCGCGCCGGCGCATGCGCACGCGCCGTGGCGACAGCCGCGGTCTTCCCCCCCGCTTCCCAACGTTTAAGTCTCCGTCAAAGGTGGCGGGGGAAGAGGTGGGGCTCTGCGTTGTCCACGTGACGCGGCGCTGGCGGCGTGAGCCAATAGGAGCGCGCTGAGGCCTCCGGCGGGTAAGTTGGTGCCTGGCTCCAAGATGGAGGAGGGTAGCCGCCTTCCGTCAGAGCTGGGCGGCACTGCTTGGGTGTGCTGAGCTCTTGTTCGTTTGTGTTGCTTCTGGTTTTCTTTGGGAATAGGCTGTGAATGCGTAGTTGGGTGCGGGGCCGGAGAGGAAAGTGACTCCCTCGTTCTCTTGTAACCGTGGTGGGAGAAGCTCTGTGGGAAAGAGGCGCTTTACCCTTTGCTGAGTTGTTGACTCCCGAAGAGCAGCCTGCCCCTCTCTTATTCATTCTTAGCTGTCCCCTGTAGGTCTCTTGTGGCAGAGGGTGATGTTTCGTAGGTAAGGGGACACCTTTTCTGGACTAGCAGAGTACCTCAAGTTCCTCTTTTCAGCAAAAGCAGAGTGCCTCTTCCCCCACATTGCTTCCTTATGGCCAGGCTTGATGTGGTTCTGTGTAACCTGACCTAGTTGAAGATGTCCCTGCTCATTGTAGGGGGTTGAACTAAATGACCTTTGAAAATCGCTTCCACTCCAAACTACTTTCTGATCCAGGTTTGAATGTGGCAGTTGAAGGGGGAGCTGGCCAGGAGTATTTTATTGGCGGGTGGTGTCTCCTGGAGGGCATATTTCTTTGAGGTAGATGTTGGTAGAATAAGGCAATGTTGGAAGACTTTGTGGGTTAGTGCTGTTCCTAGCTCTCCTACTTTGTCACAGCATTCAGACATAGCAGGGTGTGATGTTCATGTGCTGCCCATGTTTTGTGTCTTGTGAGATTTAATCAGTGGGACAGGATTGAATTTCCCTATCACACAACCTTTCCACAAGTGATTCTTTCATCAGCCTGAATTATAATTATATTTTAATAGTTGTGTTGTTTATATGCCACCGAATGTGTGGGATTTCTTCACATGAAAGCAAGAGTTGTTTCTTGTTGCCTGGATAAGGCACAACTAGCAGACATCTTAAAGGCAAAGTCTAAGTTGTGACGGGAGGCAGGAAGTTGATCTTGCAGTTGTGGCAATGATGCGAGACCTAAGAGAGATCTGGCAGTGAGACAGACACCCTGTGAAAGTCAAGTAATGCTTTATCCTCGTATGCACCTGAATGCCTGCAGTTGCCGTTAATTTAAACTGCATTATAAGCTTCTAAAAGTCAAGCCTCTGGTGTTTATCATTCCTCAGTCCATTTTATTAGCTTGATAGTAGTTTGCTGAGTAGTGTAGTCCATGTGTAAGCTTAGTAATAGTAATGAGGTATTCAGATGCATCAGTTAATAGGGATCCTATGGCAACATCGACAATCTCCTTGAAAGAAGCATGACTTGAAGGAATAGGAAGTCCTGGCCAGAGTTAATAAAGCAATTTCAGCAAAGGAGTAGTCTGATAATACAGGTGTTTATAGTAATGAAGATTAGGAAGGCAGCTCAGAGGGAACTAAGAGCATAACAGCACCCTGGGACTGGACTTCATGTGTTAATGTTGTTTTAGTCGAAGCATGCTGGGGTCGAAGCCTTTTAAGACTATGTTGGTGGTGTATGTTGTGTAATTAGTGATGCTAATAGTATTTGTAGCGTATAGGAACATGGTGTGCTAGTCATTGTACTGCTATAGAACAAAGAGATGGCCCCTAATACAAGAAGTTTATGAATCAACAGTGTTGTGTCATGAGTTAATTTCTTTAATCTATATAAAGTTAGTTTCAAGGGTACTGTCCCTTTATTAATAGAGAGTGTTTCAAGTACTCTTGCTAACCTGATAGCAGTCCTGATTTGCTGCAATATCAGCATTTGTTTTTCAGAAACAATCTTGGGCTTAGTGGTTCCTTTGTACTGACAGCTTGGCCACAAAATATAAAACTGTTGAGTGTTAAAGCCAAGACAGTTTGTGTGTAATGGTAATACCAAGAAACAGCTGCAATCCAAATGAGCTGGCTTTCATTCTCCTCTATGATCTGGCTGGCTGGTTGCACCCATTAATTTCCAAGTTTCATGCAGATAGTTTGAATTAATAACAAAGAAAATTATTGATAAGGTTTCTCCAGCACCGGCTTTTATATGGAAGTTAAAATACAATTGTGGTTTTAATAATTATTTTAATTTTGTTTTTAAATTGAATATTTTGATTTTAACTTGCTTTCTGTTGGATAAGAAAAATGCTTTGTGGCTATTTTTTTTTCTGTTTGTTTGGAATGACTAACTAATAGAGGGTGGTCAAAAAAGGAATCCAAAGCCATAGCATGAAATCCTTGTATCTAGGCAGGATTAGTTTTTCTTTAGCCTCAGGATTAATGTCATAGGGCAGCAAGTGTGTGTGTGTGTGTGTGTGTATACCAGAGTTTGTAATAATAACTGGAAATAAATGCAAATCTAGAAGAAAATTCCTTGAGCTATATGTGAACAAATGTAGTTGAGCTTGCTGTCTTAATAAGGCTGGCAGTCATGGGATACCAGGGCCCAGTTCTTTCTCAGCTCTGTTGATAAATTAACTTTTGACTATAAGTGGTTAACATACAGTGTCTTTATAATGTATCAATTTGCTTTGAATATGTGTGATAAAACAGGTTCACTCAGAGCAGAACAGGGACAGTAGTGTCATCCCACCAATGAATAAATGTTAATAGGTACTTACAGATGTGTTGCTTTAAACTTTTACAGTCTTCCTGTTCTAGAGAGCTGTTAATTCATATAATGTTGAAAAGATAAGATGAAAGGCTGCACAATAAAGGAGCAATTAATCTAGTGATAAAGGTTTGCTTTTAACTTTTATTTTCTTTAACAAGTAATTTAAGATAAAAAAACTTATATCTGAAAACAGTGGCTTTTCCCTTATTCCTTCACTCTACAATGACAGCTTGCCACTGAACCCTAAAAATAAACTCTGTAAGGTGAAAGTTAAGTGCTAGTAGCAAATCCTTCCCAATTTGCATTGACTTTCTGGTATGGAGGAGGCTGTATGATTCCTGGTTGTTTGTGTGTGTGGTGGGTTTATTGTGTGAGAGGGTTGTTTAGTTTTTTGTTTTTCCCTGGTTGCCTGAGTTTTTAGCAGCTGTAAATGTTTCCAGATGGTAAGGATTAAAAGGTAAAAGTGAGTAATAAGTATATGAAAATTTCTTCTTCAGGAATTTAATGCAGTGCTGCTTGAAAATTCAACGCTTCCTTAAAATGTCAGAGTAAAGATGTTAAAGAACTATATTGGTTGTGCACCAAATACACTGGCTTAAAATAGCTGCAACTCTTCACTGCAGTCTTTTTCATCCCTCTGAGATTTAGAAGTCTCCTTTACACTTGCTGCTGCATCCTTTCCCATTGACTTAATTGCTTACACTTGCTACTGTTCCTGACTCCCTCTGTAAGTTCTGTTTCATTTAAACTGCTCTGCTTCAGTTTCTCTTCATTGAAAATAAACACTTGCTTCAGAGATTTATTTTGAAACGTGTTTCCATCGTATATTCCTCTTTCACTGCAGTCCTCCATCCTGTCTTCAGTTCTATCAATATTTAGTGGTATCTTTATATTGGCTTGACTTCCTGTCCACCCACGCTTTCACTGATCTCCTCCAGTCTTCTTTCTGATGTTTGAGTTCATTGAACTGCTCTAAGGTCACAGGTGGCTTGTTAGTGGTTAAATCTGAAGTATAATTCTTGTTTCATCCGTCTTAATCTGTCTGTCACTTTTGGCACTCAACACTGTCCTGTCTGTTTTCTTGATGTATGTGGTGTTTTGACTGGTATTTTCCAATCATATGGTGGTGTTTTTCCATAGATTCTATCATTTCTACTCGGTTCTGTTCCCAAAGTTTGTGTTTTATGGTGTATAGGACTTGTTTGAGTCCGCTATATTCTCTAGATTCTTCTATTTAACCCACTGCCTTTCATTTTAACCTCCTTCTTTTTGCATTCCTTTTTTTGCCAAGATCTTGTGTGTCCAGCATCTGTATCTGAAGTTATTCCCAAAAGCTGCTTTGCTTCCCTCTGAATCTAACTCCTTTTTCCTTGGAGTTTGGGATTTTATGGAATTAAGTTCTGATGTTTCTTCACCTTGTACAATCACAGCTTTACTAACTTCCCTCAGTCCTTCAGGCTTTATAAGAAGTTTCTGGTGACTCTCCCATACCTGACTGTTTTCTCCCTTCTCCTATTCATTATCAGTCCACTGATAATGGACTGATAATGAATAGGACTGATAATGAATGGACTTTTTCCTTTTCCACTGTTTCTGAATGTATTGCCCTTTAATAGGAACACCTCAGTTCACTGGTTTTTTAATACATGCTGTTTCAAGTCTCTTTCAATCTTGTATGTTGACCTTAAAGATATTCCTTTTCTTCCTGCTGTGACATTTCCATCTTCTTTGTGTACATTTTAACTTTGTCTGTTTTGTGTGACCATTTTACACCTCCTGACTCCTGTGTCCTAATGCTCTAATAAAGAGTGGTAAGTATGGAGGAGCTAGAAGTATCATTAGCTAATAACGCACGGTTATGACAAGGTGAAGAAAGAAATACAAAAGAGATCTGAAAAGATCTTTTTATTTCTTTGTGATGTAAGAGAATGGCCTAAAAGGCTGTATGTTTCCGTCTAAGGAGCATCATAGAATCAACTAGGTTGGAAAAGACTTAAGATCATCAAGTCCAGCTATTACTCCAGGACTGCATTGAGTCATGTTACCCATTTATTGAAAGCCTTGAGAGGGGAGACAGTATTTTATATAGGACTCTTAAAGCTTTTCTATTAAATGTGGAGTTGATAGATCTGTAGTTTATTATTATGTATTTCAGTTCTGCGTATGAAATTTAAAGCTGTCTTCATAAAGGAACAAGAACGACTCAGTTTTGTACTCGGTGCTTTAAGAGTCTTTCTGATATGAGTAACAGGAATAATTCAGTCATATCACACAAACAGGAAAAAAAAATACCCGAGGTTAGATGCTCTAGAGCTTCCCCTTATCTCATGAGCCAGAGTCAATGGTCAGGGTCCTATCAATAACCTGGAAACTACACATTACATGAATTTGTTTTCCTTTTTTTTTTTTTTTTTTCTTTCTTTAATGCATCACTGCAGGACCAGTTAATCTAAGAATTGCCATAGAAACGTGGTATTTGGAAGCTTCAATGTATAAGGGTATTACTTGGTGCTAAAAAAAAAAAAATAGTGTTAAAATGGTTAGGAATAAGATTGAGCTAATTTTGGCTTCAGAGAAATCTGTGTGTTTGTTCTAAATTGGCCTAACAATTTCAGTAGTGAGTGGGGAAAGGTATCTTCAGAGGGCAAGTCACCCTTTCCTGTTCTAGGTATTTATCACACAGTATTTAACTGTGTGAGGTGAGTCGTCCTGGAAACGTG